GGGAAAGGGAGACAAGCTACAGCAGACAGTTTGAGGAAGCCCAACTGAAATGTCAAGTTTTCCTGTGTGATCTTTTGTCTGAGGAGGAAGACAGAAACACTAACTTTCCTGATGTTGATACTTTTCCCCTGGTCCTCCAGAGGTCCAGGACCTGGGAAAGTTTGGGCTGGCAGGAGTCAGTTGACCTTGAATTCTGGGACTTGAAAATGCAGCAACTGCTGGAGAAAGCTGTCTACCATGAGCTGACTTCACCACCATTGGTGAAAGCTTAGTCAGCTTTCATCTCTGTTAAAGTGAGCCTCTTGACTGCTGAAGCCATCAGAACTTCACAGTCCAGGCTCTCTGCCTTAGGTCTCTGCTGCCATGCTCCAGGTGAGGAACGTACTGGAAGCATGCAACTCTGGTCAATATTAAAAAAAAACCAAAACACCACAAACAAACCAAAAAACCTGGACCTGACCTGGAGAAACAGCTGCCGAAAAGGGACAGAAAAGTTTTCAAACAGCAAAATTTAATTGCCTGAGAGGACTAACATGGCCCCTGCCTTGTGCAAAGACAAATCGGAGAGGGCAAGGGGGCCTCGCATACAGGTGTTACTTGGTACTCTAGATCATGGCCTGCAGCCTCTCCTCCCATGGCCTGCTGGGCTGACAGAGCAGTTCACAGAAAGATAGTCTTTGTCATTAACATCCAAGAACTAACCAATTCCTGGTGGTGTTGAAATGGAAGTGACACAGAAATATTTAGGGAGACGTGCAAAATTAAAGGGCACCCTTATCTTAGAACTGTGCATATATAAAAAGCAAATGTATGTAACTGAACCAAAAATCTTGTCTATGCCTTTAACCGGGAAACATCTATTTCTATGCAGATGTTTTTGGACCTGAAGAAAAGCCCTAAATAACTTATAAGAAATGGGATGCAGAGGTTTTTTTTTTTCCTTCAAATGCAGCACAAGTCTGGAGCTGTTCTGCAGATCATCTAAATGACTTTGATGGTTTGTAGCAGCACATGAAATATTTGTAGCTAAGGAGAGAACTAAAATTTAAAGGCTTGGTAGGATACTTAAGCTGTCAGGGTAGATGGTTATCTTATTAGTTACTTCCATAGACTCTGCATGCTTCTAGTTTAAAAAGAAAATGTTTTTCAATTCCCATTATTTCTGGGCCTACTTTTGTGATAACATTTGGAAGACTTTTGAGTATATTATATCTGAACCTAGGAAAGAATAAGTTATAATGAATAATTTATTTGCGAAACTTCTTTTCTTTTTCCTATTCATGGCTTGTTTGTGAAGTGCTGGTATTTTTTCAGAAATGTATTTATAATTTGAAATGCATCATTGGACACTTTTGTGATATTTTAGTGCAGAAACGTTGATGTTTGGGAATACGATTGTGGTATTGCTCTGATTTTATATTTGAAGCCTATTTTTTATATATTGCTTAACATTCCTCATTTTTGGTAATTCAGTGGGGTATATTTATGGAAATTAACTGCATAAAGGGCACACGGGTCTTCAGGGTAAATTTTAAAAGTTTTATGAACTTTTCATGAGCTTTTTTTCCTACTCAAATTTAATAATGGCGAAAGCACCCTTGAAACACACTGTAGTTTCTGGGGAAAATGTAGAAATGTGTTCTCAATTTAGATTTTTTACTAATTGACTATTTCTAGAAATCTTTTGTTCAAACCATACAGTATTTTCAGATTCTGCTGTATGGTTCATTATACAGTCCATCTTATTTGACAAGGAGTGTGATCAGCCATGTTGTATTTCTTTGTTCATTTCTTACCATTTACATTTTGTTATGCTATTCAAGTTCCTAAAAGCAGATGAAATTTCCCCCTCTCTCTCAAGCCAGTTGGGACAAAGCGAGGTCACAGGTCTGGAGTGGTCTTTATCAATGTTTAAATTTCACTGTCTTTCGACTTACATTTCGCCTAAGGTTTTATATACTGTTTTAAATGGGGAAGAAAAAAAAATCATTTGCAAACAGAGAAACTCACACACTTGCAGGTTCACCAGTGAAGATAATTACATAGGTACTTAGTTATGCAGAAGAACACAGAGAGGCAAGGAAGGTGTAATCCTGAAGGGCTTTGGCTTGCAGGGTATGGTCTTGGTATAAGGTCTGTCTGTTAATGTTGTTAATGGCCCAATACACATGCACAGGTGAAGATAGAAAGGTTAGGTTATCATTAGGTGGCTTATATTATTAGCTCCTTTCATTTCCTCAAGGCTTTGTCAAGCAGACAGTGTGCACAACAAGCCCTGTAATGCTCAAGTCCTTTTAGGACTCCTTGGAGTAATTTTTGAGGTTTGGCTGGGAACAGATACTGAATAAAGGAAAGCTGACTTGTAGTGAGTAGAAATAGGACAAGGAAATACTTAATCTTTCAGAAAGCTGTGCATAAGCCTTTCTGTGCTGTTGCATAAAATATGACTGAAAAATGTGGTATGCCCAGATCCCCTATGGGGACAAAAGAGATCTCCATGTTACTCACATTAGTGATGGCTGAGATAGTATATACTTCAGTACTTCATGGCTGCAGAGTTCCTTACTTAAATTGAGGCCAGGTATCTTGTGCTGCTCACCCCACATCTTGACCTAAGCTGCCCTTTCTGTTAATTGTATTTAAACAAGTACAACTATACAAGAGACAAATACAGTGACTACTCCTGAAATAGTTGAAAAGTCCTCCTAAAGACATCTCTGCCAAATCCAGTGTAGCTGGATGATACTTTAAAAAATATAGTGGTCAATGAAGATCAAGAGGAAATTATAGCCAGAGCCTCTGTTTAAGGTGTCCTATTAAATGCATTGGAAAATTTAAATTTAAAAACCTGATGAAAATCAAGTCTTAAACGGATTAGTCAGTTTATTTATTCACTGATAGTATCTCTTTTTGGACTGCAACTTAAGTGTGGAATGCCAGGTGTCTCTGTAACAGAAAAAGCTGCAAAGATTTATGCACAGTGTTATCTCTGCATGTAATGTGTAAAACTATTAGCTTCAAGGCTCCTTTTCAGTGTTCACAAGTCAGTGCAGGGTGCGAGTTATAGCATGTCCTGCATTCACAAAAATGAAGACTCCCTCCTTACTCTGGCACCAAAATTAAAAATGGTTTTAATAATGACTTTGCCAATTAATTCCTCCTTTGCCAGCTACACAATGAAAATCTCCGAAGGTTAGATTTAATTTCCAGGCGCAAGTCCATAGTTACAGCTGGTTTCTGTGCCACTCTTGCAAGAACTTTGGAAAGATATTAGTGTTTATAATCACTCTTCATCTGCTGTTCTTATTGGTTTCATCATTTTCTTTGTCCTGTACTCCTGTAACTGGGTAATTGAACTGATCAGAACATAGTAGAGTGGAGTCATTTGCCTTCTCAACTAGTACCTCTTCATAGCTCTTTACTCATAGAAATTGTAAGAGCATTTAAATATAAGTCTCTGCCCTTTCAGTCTCACCATAGGAAATTATGCTTAGCTGAGCATACCATAAAGGTAAAGTAATCTGTCTGATTACTAGCAGTTGCAACAGTTTTCTAGCAGTAGCATAGGGTGAAAATATCAGTTGAAAAAAAATCATGAAATATTAAATATCATCCAAGAAGACTGACAGTCTGAGACACTTAGGAAAAAAAATGTTAATTTTAAAAACTAACAGTATGTTTTCATTCAAGTGGAATTTTAATTAAATGGTGCATTTATAGAACAGCACAAATCTAAACTGTGACAACATAAATGAGACAATAACTTTTTTAAAAATTATTTTTAACCCTCTGTGCTGCATAGAGAGGAATTGTTGGGGTCCACACTCTGCTCTTTTTCCAGATTATATTATTTTAATTACAAATCAAATGTTTTACACTATTACCTTGAGATTAAGCTACTGCAAACAGAAGAAGTAAGGAAAAGAAAGTATTATCAGAAAAATAAATAGAAAAAGAAAAAGCAAGTATTATAACTCAAGTTTATATTTTACTCACAAGACCAATCTTTTCCTTAATGTTTAATATTAAACTCCTTCATGACGAAATTCAGGTAGCCCATATAGGATCAAGCATGATCTTTATATGAGTGAGTTATGGGGGTAAAAAAAGAATTAAGAGAGAGAAAAATCCACCAACCAATAAACCCAAGGCTAGGATAAAGAGAAATATTAACAGAGATTTTTGGTAAAAAGAAGGAGCCAGGTAGCCCATTTTAATACTGAGTTGAGAGCAGTCTGGAGTAACGGTAGAATTGAAACAGGTTTGCTTACTTACATGTCAGGTTAAAATTAAGCCTAATATTGTTTCAAAAATCTTCTTTTGATTCCACCCACATTGTGGTTGCTTGTCATCATGCTGAAATAAATATGCATTGGGAAAAAGGAGCTTTTATGACAAAAAAAGTAAATATATGTGAGACACAAGCTAAAAAGGAAAGTGCAGGAGTTAAGCTGTCTGTCTCTGAGTTATTTGAGTTACAGCCAGAAAGTTATTTGTTTATCTCCCAGGAAAATATCTAAGTTTCTGTAGGACCGTGATAGCAAATACTGCAAAAGTAGCAAATAAAATCTAAAAGTTATAGTCTTAGGGAAGTGACAGAGCCATTTACTACACTTGCTCTATTGTGTGTGTGTCCCCTTCTTTTTTTTTTCTTTTTTTTTTGTTTTATTAATTGTAACAAAACATAACATTTTCTGGATTTCCTTGAAACCTGGAAAATTAAATTTTAATGTATTAGGTCAAGAAATTTAGAAATACTGATATTTTGGTTCAACAGTAATTAAAAGATGACCAAGAAAATTATTTCTTTGGAATTACAATTGGGGCTTGGAAACTAGTGAAGGAAAAGAACAGTACCTGAATATATAATTTGAGATATTTAAAAGATCCTGTCTATTCAGTCATGTATATATATGTTAACTTTGGGGGAAGGAGAGAAAAAGAAAATCAAGAGCAGTGTCATTGTCTGGAGACTCATATTCGGATGCTCTCTATTCCAGATCTGTTGCAGAAGCCACAGAGGTTGATCTCAACATGAGAGTTGGACTGCATACAGGCAGGGTGCTTTGTGGAGTCCTGGGTCTCCGAAAATGGCAATATGATGTCTGGTCAAATGATGTGACTTTAGCTAATGTAATGGAAGCTGGAGGACTGCCTGGGTAAGTCTGAGAAAGAACCATAGAAAAACAAACAGAAACCTGCGTGGGTGAAGAATTTATTTCCTTCTTTGAGACATTCGCAATGGAATTACTATTTGATAAGAAAGATTGTATTCTGTAAGAGCAATCAATGTATTATGTGATTTATCCTGTAGATTTCTCCAAATGAGCTTGATATTTATGTTAGTAAGAGGTTAGATTAGAAGCAAAACATTTCTAAATGAAATCCTTATTAGAAGCTGCCAGATATAAAGAGTAGGAATGAGGCAATGCTAGGAATGTAGGAATGATAGACTTTCACCATTTCAAGTAAAACTCTCTAGTTATTCCAGGAAATTTTTACCCTTGCACCTCTACACATGGGAGGGGGAGTGTGCCTTACTCCATTTACTTGGCAAGATTTCCAACTCCAGCAGTGTGCTATAGAAAAAAAATACCTGTTTATGGCCTCAAATTATCGATACCGTGTGTGCAAATGATATGGTAGCACATAAACCTGCAGCCAGCCCATGGGGCATGCCTGGAATTTCAAGTACTCCTTGGACAGCCTTGGACCCAATTTAAATGCACACAGTGCACTTTTGCAAAGGTGCATGGGTGTGTTCCTCTGTGTAACTCACATTTGGACTGGGACCTACCATCTTCTGTTGGATTTTTACAAGATCATGATTTGCTGAACAGGGGGACAATGCAACCTCTTAATTTTTGTGGTTGAGTGGATTTCTGTTTGTTACCTATGTCTGCCTTTTAGACCATTTTGGCCCTGTATATATATAAGGTAACCCTTCCTTACCTTAAGGGTTTCCAGCGAAAAAAATCTGAACACGTGTTTAATAGAGGAAAGCAGTAATAGCTTTTCAGATATCTTCTGTGAAGACATTTCAAATATAAGGGGTCTTTTGGGAGAAAATGTGAAGACAGTTTTCAGGATAAAAAACCTCACAAATAGCGTCAAAGATGGCTGTGCTGCCAAAACAAAGTGAATTAGAAAGCTGCTTACAAAACAGAGTGAGTAAATGAAACAAATCAGAGACGTGAAGGGGAACAGAAAAAGAAGTTTCTCCTTTATGCACAGGAGAGATTCAGAGTGTGAAGTCACAAGTTTCAAACAGCAGGATGTTTTCCCAAGCAGGGCGTGAGGTAAACACTTAAGAAAGCCACACAATGTGGAAGATGATGTGCAGACTTTCACTTTCTACAAATGAACAAATCTGCAAGTGTTTGGACAGTCAACAATTATCTTTCTGCTCAAGTTTAGAAAATGCATGTAATGGAAATATTTCTATGTTCTATTTGGCTGAAAAGACAAAACAATATTTTTACATCAAAAAAGGGGTTTTGCACCTAATTTCACCTCTTTATTATCTTCTGCACAGGAGTGTATTTCAATAGCAACTAGCTCATAATGTATCTTCTTTGCTTTAAACAACAATGTCCAATTTTTCTCTCCAGGAAAGTTCACATTACAAAGACCACCTTAGAGTGCCTAAATGGGGACTACGAGGTAGAACCAGGATATGGTCATGAAAGGAATAGTTTCTTGAAAAAGCATAATATTGAAACATATTTTATTGTGCCATCCCATCGTAGGAAGGTAAGCTCCACAAATTCTGTCTTATTCTGTGATATGTTTTCGTAATTTAACAACTGTTCTGTGATATCCTGAAAGCAGAGGCAATACTGGTATTTCTGATTTCTAAAGGCTCTTTACACACTCTTGAAATTAGATCTGATTTTGACTGAGGCAGGAATGCTAAAAAACCTAACCTTGAACGTTACATAGAGAAGATGATCAATTTACTTTTGAAGTTTAAAAATAAAACCTTTCTTCCCTTTACCCTCCAAAAAAGAAAATTGTTGTTTTGTTCAGATTCTGTAATCGTTCTATCACAAATTATATGATATGTTATTCCAAAAATGTAATTCACTCTTCCCTTCCTCCTCCCTTCAGAAGGGTTTTTCAGAATATTAATACTCACAGCTTGGCTGTTTTTCTTCTAGTTTTCTTCACTCTCTCATTCCCATATTCCCATGCCATTTTACTCATGCTTTCCTAACCCTTTCTACAACCACTTGTGATACTGGTGGCTCTTTTACTGGGCCTGGCGGATTCCCCAATGAATAGACACAGAAAAAGTAGTATTTACAGACATGTCATGACCACAGCAGAAAAGTTAGTGAAATGAATTCAGCAGTGATTGAACTAACATCCCCTGGAAGTCTGGAAAAGCTGTACAACAAGCCCTTTTATCCAGGTCAGAAGAAGAGGCTGTAGTCAACCATCCTGCTTTTGAATGTATATACAACTGTACCACAGTTCAGGTATTTATGCTGAAGCTGAGTAAATTTTCCAAGGTTATTGCAACAAATAATATATTCTCTGTCCGAAACATGCATGTTTTTTCTCCTGCTACATTGACCTGCTCATGACAAATCCAATGTTTTCTTTGCTTGCTTTGCCACCTCAGACTCCCACAATGATTTTGGTCATCCCTTTCTTATCTTAGCTGACCTTCCCTCCAAATTTTCTTAAGCTCCCCTGTCCCTTCAGCTTCTTCCTTTTGTCAGACCCCTGGAGATGTACTGGGGAAAGAGGAGTAAGTCAGCAGTGCTATTGAGGGACAATAACGTTTTCTGCTCTTTTCTTCTTTTTGGTGGAGAACAGGAAATGGGAAGTGTGGGAAGAATAAGATAAGAGAAGATTTTAGCTCATTTGAGCAGGAACTTAATTTCTTAGATGTTGCTCAGGATTTAGCCACCCCTGATGGAGGTGGATGTGACTCCTTGTTCTAGCCATATATTCAGGATAAGGAGAACAGAGGCCCAGCAGTGCGATGGTAATATCTTGAGTCTCAGCATGCAGTGAAGGTGGTGACAGTGGTTTTCCAACAGGTTCATTTATAGTCACACCTTTCTTCCTCAACCAGTTACTGAGTTTAGGGCAGCCTTTTGTTCTGCTATAAAATGTTTTGTGACTTCAGTAAGAGTCTTGGAAGTCCATAATCAACATTTAAGCACATTCAGTTTGTTCCCGCCTTTTCCACCTCAAATGAGGCTTATCTTAGGAGTTACCTGCCATAACATGTTTACAGGCCAAGAAGAAATTTATTGCTCTTTATCTCAGCCAGACAACTCAGGATACAGACTTTTGAACCCTTATCTTCTGAGACTCTGCCCAAACAAGTTTCATTCATGTGTTTGACCTTTAGAGGGAAAATGATAATGTCCAATTCTGAAAGTAAGTATAAAAACAATACAGATGAGGTTTTAAAGTGATGTCAAAGCTCGGTGCTTGAGGGTGTTAGCCAACGGGTGCTTGACAAAAATGTAAAGAGGAAAAACAGGTGATCTTGAATTCCATGCCCGCAGTTGGTTCCGTGGTCTGAATTTGATGACTCGGGGAGTTTTTATGGAAATGCTGGGGGTCCAGTCACCAGGGGAATTTGATTCTGGGAGTGAAAGCTACTGTTATTTTATCCCAGAAAGGCTGCTGCAAGGGTGTTTTTTTATGCACTTCCTCTAAAACATCTTGTTATTAGAGAGATGGAGTGTTCTCATCTGCTGCAAAAATCATGCAATCTCATGTTTTGTTATTCTGCTGGTATATATGATTAGATTCAGTTTTAGGTAGTGTGAAAGAAAACAGGTGGAAAAACAGCGGGCTAGATTCTGTTTTGGCAGTCAGTGAGAGATTTTTCTGGTGGCTTTCTTGAAACCAGAATTAGTTCCTAAGTTAATCAAACCCAATACAGAAGAAAAAGTAAGGGAGGGTTTAATTAAATTAGGTGTGTTGCTTATTGCTGCTAGATTTGTTTGTCTTGGTTTTCTGCTGTTTTCATTCCTACAGCTTTATGTGTAATTTCATTTCCTATGTTATTATGTATCAGGTTTCATTTCATATTGAGAGGAGAAATAGCTGAATTTCAGGAAATTGTTGATAGGTTGGTGCACAGAGGCAAGTAGAAAGAAAAGGGGATAAATATGGCTATTAAATATAGAAACTGTATTGTGTTAACTCCACTGCATAAACCAGTGATTGAGGAACAGAAGCTTGACATTCACATATTAAAGTAAACCAGGTCAATGCACGTTTAATGTGCAAGGATGAGAGCCTACTACTGTGTAAGCACACCTTTCTTCATCTTTGCAAGATTGCTGAGAAACTACTCGTGACTGCTGAGAAACAACCGATCGACCTGTCATCAGCTACATAAACCAAATGCCATCTTACCCATGGGTGTCACTGATGGGTTTGTGGAAGTGGCAGATGCTGTGGTACAGCTTGGCTAATGACATTAGGTCTCCAGCATGCATCAATGGCATGTCAGCCAAACTGGCAGAAAGAAACACTTCATGAATTTTACTGGTATTGACAGCTTCTCCACTGGGCTCACAGATTCATCAGCATGTCACTTCACTGTTTGTCACAGTACATCACAACCGTCCCCAGTCTTCGTACACTTGCATACCCATCATTGGACTATGAGCTACATGATAGTATGTTTACCCTCAAAATAAACACCTGCTGTCCCCTCCTACCCTGATTCAGCCATTAACTCTTCAGAGACCTAGAAACTGAAGACTACCCATGAAGCATAGACAAGACAGAGTTTCTTTAGGTGAATTCAGGTATCTGGTTGTTCAATATTGTATTCCTTCCTCCAGAGCCTCAGTAGCTGAAATGCAGACACATATTTTATTCTTTATGCATCATCTCTGACATTAATATGAACTGACTTTAGCAGGTATGATGCCAAGAGGAATGAAAATCAATGTTATGAGCAACAGATGGCCAAGAATCTGTTGAATTTGAAAGGTAAATAGGCCCACTTAGTTTTTTAAAATTATTTATTTATTTATTTAGAAGACACATCCCCCACATTCTTCCATATTTGGTCTGACAGGAAGATCTTTCATCACGAATATAGCCCAAAGTATGAGAATAACAAAAGTATGAGAATAACAGTATAAGACAACTCATTCATGTGCCAGTTACATTTTAAATGTGAGCAAATTATAAAGTATTCCCAGTTTTTTTAATCTTTTATTGAATCAGCTAACAACGACAATTTTGTGATCTGATCTGATTGCTAGTTTGACGTATAAGCTAATATGTGTGAGAGCACTTCTAAGTGGCCACTGAGGGAATTACTTTTCTTTTTGTTTTGTTACAATTTTGATTTTGGTAGAGATTATATTAGTCTATTATTGTTGTTGTTGTTGTTGTTATTATTATTAATAATAAGCAATAAATATGCATGTTTGACTGGATAACTTTCAGCTTCTAAACAGACTTAAATAATTAATCTGATTTCCAAAGGCATTCAGAAATTTTTTTATTTAAATAAAATTTTTTTGCTGGCCATCATAGTTAAAAACTTATGCAAGTATGCTTTTTAAATATAATACACCATGTTATAATGCCCTGACAAAGTTTCTAGTTCTGAAAATGCTAACACATTTCTTTTAAGTAAGGTTTAATTATGTCTTCATGATATTTTATATTGATACTAAAACTTACAGTGATGTGACCAAAATACTGCACTGGGATGAGATTTGAAAAGTTTGGTTAATGTAACTAGCCGCAAGTCTGATCACATACATTAATATCTTGGACTTGTAAAACAGGTCTGATCCAGTTAGAAAAACAGAAAAACAGATCTCTTTCTAATGTATTAACTATTCACAGGATGCATACTCTATGCTTTAGACACATGGACATTCTCTTAGTTTCAAAATGTCCTAGCTTTCTGAAGTATTGTAAATGTTACTGTACATGGATGATATTTCAGGAAAAAAAAAATCTACGCCAAATCTGTTAATCTCAGAGCCCCTTACAAGAACTTTATAACTCTGCTTAGACCCAGCTAAATAACTTTTTCCATTAATGATTTCTCGGTAATCTACCTGACTAATCCTGTTCTGAATTTCAAACTGCATGCTTAAAATTTAATTTAATTTTTTTTAATAGAGTGGATCTGGCTTTCATCAGAATCCTTTGTTCTTTCATTGTCAGCACTGACGCTAGTCAAAGTATCTTTGCCTCAGTTTTACAGCTGGCATAGCTGGCTCACAGAAGCACAGCAGAGGTAGTGAGTTTAGCTGGACTGTCTACTTCACTTCTATGGTTGCTCTAGAATGTATGATTCCCCTGCAGTGTAACACCTCCTAAGGTTTGACCACAACCTCATTGATAACCAGGTGGTTGGGTACTTGGGCTTACTTCTTTGTATTTGTTGCAGCAATTCACTCTCTGATGGCACCTCTCTAGTTTTGAAAAGGCTCATTAATTTCACCAGCTGAGAAAACAGCCCAGCACAGACAATTAAGCGAAATTCCTAAGGTACATTTACAGATAGCCAAGCAGTGGTCAGAAGTGAACAAGTCTTTGTGAAGGGAAAGATTTCTCAGAATGTGTTAGTTTTTGCATTTACAGAAGTGGGCCTGCCATCACTGTTACTCATTACCACCTTAAGGGAACCTGCTTCACTGAGTAATTTTGCCAAGTCCAGAGCTAAGGCAAAGACAAATAATGCTATAGACCATTAACAGGAAGCAATAGAGTTGTGTCCAGGAAGGGGGGTCATAAAAATT